GGAAAAACATCCCTTGGATCAGGGAGATAAAAATAAAGGGATTCTACAGGACAAAAGGGAAGACAACAACTCCACAGCCCCTGCCTCAGGAGCAGCAGTGTGGATTTTTGGGAAGCACCCAGGAGAAGGACTCCATGATCCTTGATCGGGATATTCCATGATTCTGTGACTCCATAACCCTGCCCAGGGGTTGGGACTCCACAGAGAAGGAAATCCTGGATTCAACAGGTTCTGTTTGCCAAAAGCAGAGGTTTGGGGACGCTCCAACTCCAGGGTGCCCCATCCCAAATCTTGGCTGCCGATGCCCAAGGATCTAATTCCACAGGAACCTTTTAGGAATGCAAAGCAGAGCGACGCAGGAATCCCCGGCTGGAATCAGGACCCAGACACCTCCCCTTTCCCCAGCTGGCTCCAGATCCACCCAATCCATAAACCCCCTTTTCCCTCAGGGATGTGCTGTCTCCATGGGGCTGGGGTGACCCCGAGCCCCCCAGGCTCTCCGGGGAGAGGATCTGGGGATCCCCATTCCGAGGCAGAGGCACCTCCCGCGGTGACGCAGCTCTGAAACAGCTTCTGCTTTTGGGGCTCCCGAGCCCGGCACCCACCTCGTCCTCCATGGAACTCCCCGGGAGATGGGCCAGAACCGTGCTGGGGGAGCCAGGGGGGCTCTGGGGGGAAAGGGGGAGCTGCTCCCCTGGCTTTGGGGGAGCCAGGGCCGCAATGGAGGAGCTCAGGGCCAGGAAGTGCCACGGCCACAGCTTCCTCCCTCCCACGTGACAGGTCGAGCTGGGGGTGGAACTGGTGATGGGGCTGTGGCACGAGCCCATTCCCACCTCCCACCCCGCCTCCTGCACCCCTAAATCCCTGGGAACACCCCAAATCCTTGGTGCTTTGCTGCTGGGAAATCCCCCCATCCCACGGGAGGCTGAGCCCTGGTTTCTCCTCAGAGTTCAGAGCTGGTTTGTCTCCAGCACCTGGGTAGAGACCAGTGGTTGGCCTTGATGATGCCACAGGCTCTTCCAACCTTAATGATCCCATGATCCACTGAGTCCATGGGAGGGAAAGCTTTTTCCTGCCCAGAGACGCCGTGGCTGCCCCATCCCTGGAGGTGTCCAAGGCCAGGGTGGATGGGGCTTGGAGCAACCTGGGCTAGTGGGAGGTGGGCAAGGGGTGGAACTGGGTGAGCCTTAAGGTCCTTCCAACCCAAACTGTTCCATCATTCCATGATTCCATTTTGAGTTTCAGGTTTCACATTTGGAAAGCAAAGCTGGGAATGAGGCTACAGCTCCCTGAGGAAGGAGGTTGGTTGGAGAAGCAGCAGCCCAAGACCTGGTGGCTGGTTTGGGGAGGATGGGGCCATCCTGGGAATGGGAGCCAGGAGTCATTCCCATGGGAGCTGCTGGAGAGAGTCCAGAGAAGGCCATGGAGCTGCTGCCAGGGCTGGAGCACCTTTCTCATGGAGCCAGGCTGGGAGAGCTGGGGGGGTTCCCCTGGAGAAGAGAAGGCTCCAGGGAGAGCTGAGAGCCCCTGGCAGGGCCTGAAGGGGCTCCAGGAGAGCTGGAGAGGGACTGGGGACAAGGGATGGAGGGACAGCACACAGGGAATGGCTTCAAGCTGAAGGAGGGTTGATTTTAACTGGATATTGGGCAGGAATTCCTGGCTGGGAGGGTGGGGAGGCCCTGGCCCAGGTTGCCCAGAGAAGCTGTGGCTGCCCCTGGATCCCTGGAAGTGTCCAAGGCCAGGCTGGATGGTTCTTGGAGCAACCTGGGCCAGTGGAAGTTTATCTGTTACCCCGTTCCCCATCTCCCAGTAAGCACAGGCAGCTGTTTGCTCCCCCAGCAGCCACAGCACAGACACTCCAAAATCCACTTTATTGGCCCCCCAACGCCCCAAGGAGCAGAGGGGCTCCAGCCCCAGGAGCATCTCCAGCAGCTCCACGTCCTCCTGCTGCTGTTCCCAGGGCTGGGGCAGCTCTGCAGGGGGGGCTCAGCTGAGACAGGGGCAGAGGGGCAGAATCCCCCCTGCCCTGCTGAGGGATCAGCCCAGGGCATGGGGCTGGATCCATCCAGGGCGTTCCCAAGCTGGAAAAGTCAGGAATTTCATGCTAACAGAGAACTCCTTCAGGGACATCGTGCAAGCTCCGGATCACCTGCAGCCGTCGGACGGATTCCGGAGTCAGACCAGCAGGAAAATCCTCCTGACAGGCAAATCATTCCCAGAAAATCCACCTCCACCCTCTCCTCTTCCCAGGAATAACCAGGCTGGGAACATCCCTCCTCCCCTGGGGCTCCAGGTGTGACCCCACCCGCTCCCAGCCCCGGGCAGGCTCCCACGGCCCCGCGGGAATTCCGGATGGGAAATGGGAGTTTATCCCAAACCTGCCCAGGGAACAGCTCAGTCCTGCTGGGATAACCACCAGTGAGATCCTGGGAACACCAGCTCCTGGCAGGAGTTCCAGGCCCCCAGTTTAAACCAGTTCAGGCTTTACCCAAAGCTGAGCTGGGACTTTCCTGCTCATCCCAAACCTGCCCCGCCATCCCTTTGGATCAGCACTTGAGGAGCTCAGTGCCCTCACTTCAGCCCAGAACGCTGCTGGAATGATCCACAGGGTGGAAAAAAACAGGGAGAAGAGTTTTCCCTGCAGCTGGAACAGCAGCTGGACACAGGGATGGACCCCCCCGACTCCACAGCTGAATGATCCGGGTTTAATGGTGATCCACCCCCAAAACCATGGAAAACTGGCTCCAAGGAAGCTCCATAAGCCCAGGAATCAGCCCAGGAGATGCCACAGCTCTGGAGGGGCTCAGGGAGCTCACAATCCATCGGGATCAGGACAGGAACAGACAGGTCTGAGATTACCGGTGCAGGAGGGACTGGAAAATGTGGGATCAGCCGTGGGAATCCTCCTCATCCACTGGGATCACCCACAAGGCAGGAGGGAAACAGACTGGGGCAGCCAGGTCTGGACAGAAGGGACTGGAAAATGTGGGATCAGGCCTGGGAAGGAGCTGTGAGGAGGATTTAGGGATCAGAAGGAGGACAGGTGGGATCATCCAGGGGGGATGGAGAGCGGTGGGGGGATCAGCTGAACATGTCCAAGCACTTAAGAGGAGGATCCAGACTCCACACTGGGACATCCCAAGGAAGAGGTGGGACCCCCACCGGGTCACCCCACACCACCTGAAGCCTTGGGAGCCAAGTCCTTCCCAAAGGCAGGAGCATCCCATCTCCAGGAGGGGAATTCCTCCCCCTGCGGCACCAGGTGACACCGGGGGGGTTGAATTCCCAGGTCTGGCTCCATGGGAAGCCTGGATGGCAATGCCCCAAGAAATCCATCCCTTTTCCCTCGCTCTGGGAATGTTTTGCTCAGTCCCAGGCAGAGGCTCAGCGGGAACCTGCTGCCCCTTCCCTGGGAGTGCAGGCCCCCCCAAAATATCTGATTTCTCCCCAAAATTACGGGATCAAAGCCCCCCCTGCTCCAGGATTGTGGAGCAGCTCTGGCTGAACTTCCCCCGCAGGACCCAGAAATGGGCTGAAATGAGGGAAATTAGGGCAAGGTGGGAACAGGGGCAGCTGCTGAGACCCAGAGACACGAGGAAGTAGAAATGTATAAAGGTATAAATGAACCGGTATAGAAATGAGATTAATTCACGTAAAGAGTTGTTTTAAGTAAGTTAACAAACCCATAAATTAAGAGCTTCATAAATAATAACGCCATCAATTAATGATCTTCTCAACACCTCCATTCACATCGGGAGGAGGATTTTTTTTTTTTGAGGGGGCGGGATCCGGGCAAACCCTCGGGAAGGGGGATCCGGGCAACCCCCGGGAAGGGGGATCCGGGCAAACCCCCGGGAAGGGGGATCCGGGCAAACCCCCGGGAAGGGGGATCCGGGCAAACCCCCGGGAAGGGGGATCCGGGCAAACCCCCGGGAAGGGGGATCCGGGCAACCCCCGGGAAGGGGGATCCGGGCCGGGGGTCCCGCAGGTCCCACGCCCGCGTTCGGAAGCGCCCCGCGCCGGGGCTGAGCGACCCCCGGAGGGGCCCCGCGGTGCCGCCGCTCTCACCTTCTTGCCCTTCTTGCCCTCCTCCTCCACCCCCGGGAAGGGGGATCCGGGCAAACCCCCGGGAAGGGGGATCCGGGCAAACCCCCGGGAAGGGGGATCCGGGCAAACCCCCGGGAAGGGGGATCCGGGCAACCCCCGGGAAGGGGGATCCGGGCCGGGGGTCCCGCAGGTCCCACGCCCGCGTTCGGAAGCGCCCCGCGCCGGGGCTGAGCGACCCCCGGAGGGGCCCCGCGGTGCCGCCGCTCTCACCTTCTTGCCCTTCTTGCCCTCCTCCTCCATGGCTCCGGCGGCGGCCCGGGCCCCCCCCGGGGCATCCCGGCCTGGCTGCGCGGCGGGGCCTCAGTGCGCGGCGGCGGCGGTGGCAGCCATGGCCCGCCCGGGTCCCGCTCCAGCCCCGCTTCCCGCTCCCGATCCCGGCCCCGCTCCCGGCCCCGGCGCCGCCTCAGCGCCCGCGGCTCGGCCCCGCCGCCATCTTGGGCGGCGCCTTCCCGTGACGTCATCGGCCCGCCGCCAGGGGGAGAGGGCCGCCATGCGCACGCGCCGATCCTCCAGCGCTCCGAGCCACGCCCACCCACGCCCAAGCCACGCCCCTCTATTGAAGAACAGCTCAATGGCCACGCCCATGACGGCGAGGCCTCGCCCTCCAAATAGCCACGCCCCCGGTTGATCGACCGTCGTATTGGCCACGCCCACCACACAGACACCGCGCCCCATTGGAACCCCGCCCCCAGTTGCGATGCCGAATTTGTAGTCACGCCCACCGCTCTCAGGTCCCGCCCCCTTGTGACCACGCCCACCTACTGCTGCCAGGTGGCGCCGCCGCGCGTCGCGTCGCGGTGACGTCAGAGCCGGCGCGCGCGTTGTCTCGGCCATGGCGGCGGCGGGAGGTGAGGGGAGACCGGCCTGGGCCACCCGGCGACATCCGCCCGCATCCGCGCCCCGGGAGCACCGAGGGCTCCCTGGGGCGGCCCCCGCGGCGCGCGGCGCCTCCCCCGCACCGGGCCGTGAGGGGCGGTAGGCGCGGTACACGCTCGGAAGGGCGGCGGGGGGATCCGACGGGCTCGGGAGCGGTTTCCCGCCGCAGGCTCCAGCATGGCGGGGCCTGGCGTGGCCCCCGCCATTCCTGCAGCGCTGCTAGAGTATCCCGGGGCCGTTTGAGGCCTCTCCCGGCGCTTCCCGGGGGCGGTTATGGAACCCCCGGACACCCCCAGGGCCCGGGAGGGATCTGGGGGGGGACACCGGGGGAGCCCTGGAACGCCCATACAGGGCCGGGGACATTCCTACCCTTTCCCATTCCAGGCTCCCGCTCTGGGGATCCAGCCCCGTTGAGGAAGCCATCGGGAAGGAGGAGGTGGATTCAGAGGACCTATCACCGAAACTGGCATTCTTGTGGTTAATTAATGCTACCTAATTAACGCCACCGAGGGCTCAGCCTCTCCTGTGGGGGGGACCCGGGACCCAGCCCTCCCTCCCAGCGGGATTTCTCCGGAGTCACCACGTGGCCAGGTGAGCTGTTGTTGCTCTGCCCCATCCTGGTAATTCCCTCATTCCCTGGAATTACCTCTGCCAGCCCCGCCCAGGGAGTCCCCGGGGCTGGGATCCCACGGGAATGCTTGGGGGGGGGATTGGCTACTGGGACCCTCCCGGTGACCCCATGGGCTGTGGGGCTGCGTTCCCAGGCTGTCCTCGTGTCACCCCTTGCTCCGGCCGTGCCTTCCTAGAGCTTCCCATGGTTCTGGAGAGCCTGGGATTGGCCGTGTCCGGGATCCCACAGCCCCTCCCGCCGCAGGCTCCAGCGTGGGGGGGCCTGGCGTGGCCTCTGCCATTCCTGCAGTGCTGCCAGAGTACACTGGGAATGTTTGAGGCCTCTCCCGGCGCTTCCCGGGAGTGGTCATGGAACCCCCGGACACCCCTGATCCAGGGGGGTAGGAGGGGAACCCCTGGAACCCCCAGGCAGGGCCAGTGACCTTCCTGCTCTTTGCCATTCCAGGCTCCTCTGTTCCAGGGGGATAGGAGGGGAACCCTTGGAACCCTCAGGCAGGGCCAGTGACCTTCCTGCCCTTTGCCATTCCAGGCTCCTGCTCCAGCGATCCAGAGGGATTTAGGAAGGCCCAGGAAGTGGGTGCAGTGCTTCTGTCACCGTAATTAACCCAGCTGTAGTTAATTAAAGCTGGAATCCCCCAGGAATGCTGATCTGGGACACTTCCCATCCCCAGGGGGTCCATCTGGTGTCACCCCCTGTCCAGGGGAGGGTTGTCACCTTGTCACCTGCACCAGGCTTGGGCAGCTCATCCCACCCTCCCCGTGCCAGCGCCCTCGTCCCACAGGGATTTATCCTGCAGACGTGGATGGAAGGAGCAGCTGGGGCAACGTGGCACTTTCCCAGTGGGAGAACGTGGATCCAGCTGCACCAGAACCAGGGAATTAAACGTGAAACCATGATTTTTCCAATTTACAATTGAGAGCCTTTGTCTCCTTCTGTTTTAGGTAAAAATGGGATAAAATGGGACTGGAGGGAGGGGCTCCAGGTGCTGGAGTGGGGATTCCCAGGGAGCAGGGACCCTCCCTGTGTCCCCATGTCCCTGACAGGCCTAGGGTCACCTGGACTCACTGTCTCTGTGTCCCAGGTCCTGATGTCCCTACAGCCCAGTGTCCCAGTATCCCTGGATCCTGATGTCCCCAGGGCCCTGTGCCCACATCCTGGTGTCCCCATGCCTGAAAAGCCGGGACAAGTGGGCTGGGAAAACTGGGTGGGGAGTGGGTTTTTCCAGCTGGAAGAAGATGGCTCCAGTCCCTCTGGGATCTGGGAAGTTCTCGAGGGGCTGCTCCTGTGCCAGAGCTCATCAAATCCTTCAATTAATGAATGGAATAATTCAATTAATGGGCCAAGTGATTCAGTTAATGGGGCAGATAAATTAATGGGTCAATTAATTAACGGATCGAATAATTCAATTAACGAGTTCAATAAATGAATGGAATGTTGTAGGGTAAAAACTCAGTTTTTGTGATTGTTCCACATTGTCGGAAAAGGCCTGGGGAGAGGATGGGGCATCCCCCGGACCACCGAGGGGTCCTGGAGGCCTCAATATGCGTCACGGGAGGTGAGGAAAGGGGTAATTAATGGGGTAATTAACAGGGTAATTAACGGTGCCCGTGCGGGGAGGGTTTGACAGGGCCTGGTACCGGGGGTTGCCATGGCAGCCGCCCCTCCTGTCCGGGGGCGGAGCTTCGCATGACAACACCAGTCTCCTCCAATCAGCGCCCGGGGCGTCGCCATGGTTACACCTGTCTCCTCCAATGAGCGCCGGAGGTGTCACCATGGTTACACCCGCTTCAGCCTATCAGCGTGGGCTGCGTCGCCATGGCAACAGCTATTGTCCTGCCCTGAGTAGGCGTGGTCCCGACTGTGGGCGGGGCGTCGCCATGGGAACGGCGCCGGAAGTGTCGCGCGGACTCGGTGTCCCGTGAGGCCCCGCGCGGTTCCGGCGGGCCGGGATCGGGATCAGCGGGATCACCGGGATCAGCGGGAGCGGGGCCGGGAGCGGGGCCGGGAGCGGCCGGGCCGCCATGGAGGCCGTGCCCCGCATGCCCATGATCTGGCTCGACCTCAAGGAGGCCGGGGAGTTCGCCTTCAACGCCGCCGTCAAGAAGGTTGGCTCGGGGGGGCCTGAGGGGCGTGGGAGGGGAGGGGACGGGCGGGGCTGGCAGGGGGAGCGGGGGCCGTGGGCCGGGGGGTCACGGCTCCGTGGCGAGTTTGGGGTCCGTGAGGCTCTGAGGGGTCGTTTGGGGTCTGGGAGGGAGGGGAGGGCTTGGAGAGTGGGGTGGGCGTCTGGGAGCGGGGTTGGGGTCTGTGAGACTCGGGGGGGCACTGGGGGTCTGGGACGGAGGGAGGGTTGGAGACTGGGGCAGGGGGCTCTGGGGGTCTTTGGGGTCTGTGAGCTCAGGGGGTTTTGGGGTCTGTGAGGCTCGGGGCGGTGTTTGGGGTCTGTGAGGCTCGAGGGTGCCCAGGGAAGGGCAAAGCGGGGGGGGTCGGTTTGGGGGTCCCTGGGGCAGCGAGGAGGTGAAGCGGGGGGGCCGTGGGTCAGCGCAGCGGCTCGGGGGGTTCCGGAGAGGGGGGACCGGGGCGGGGCCGCTGGGGACCCTCGGGGGGCTGCGGGGTGGGACGGGCGGGGAGGAGGTGACACGAGGGCGGGGGGATCCCCCCTTCCCGGAGCCCCCCGAGGTCTGGGGGGGCCCGGCCCTATCACCCCCATGGGGACCTGAGTAATTAATCCCTTAATGACGAGGTGTAAACAAGCCCCGCCCCTGCCCGGCGCTCCCTGTGCCGGGGTTCCTGGAAGGGCAGGGGGATGGGGGAGGTTCCCCCCGTGTTTGCCTCGCTCCCCTACGGTTCGAGGGGGGCACACAGGGCGCAGGTGGCCCTGGGAGTGTCCCCAGCCTGCCTCACCTGCGGGGGTCGGGGGGACCTTCTCCCTTCCCGCAACTTCCTTTTCCAACCTCAGCAATTCCCGGATTCCCTCCCTTGCCCGCGGGGTTGGAACTCGTCCCTCGGGGGGTCGGAGCGTTTTCATCCCCGAGCCCCCCTGGCCCAGCCCGGGGTCCCCCACCCCCGCTGGCCCCCCCGGGGGTCTCCGGGCCCCTCACCCCCCTCCCCTCCCGCAGTTTGTCCTGAAGAATTACGGGGAGAACCCCGAGAACTACAACGAGGAGCTGCGGAAGCTGGAGCTGCTCCGGCAGGTGAGGGGGGACCTGCCCGGCTGGGGCCCTCGGGGGGGGCTCTGCCGACCCCCCCTCACCCCGCCCCGTGTTCCCAGAGCGCCGTCAGCGTTCCCAGGGATTTCGAGGGCTGCAGCACCCTGCGGAAGTACCTGGGCCAGCTGCACTTCCTGCAGAGCCGCATTCCCATGGGAGCGGGGCAGGACGCGGCCGTGCCCGTCACGTGGTGAGGGGAACCCCCCGGGGAAGGGGGGCTGTCCTGGCACAGGAGGATCCCAGGGACCCCGTGGGGAACCCTGTCCTGCCCTGGGGTGGCACAGGGAGGTCCTGGGAGCCCTCGGGGAATGGGGTCCTGGCACAGGGGAGTCCTGGGGACCCCTTAGGGGATGGGGTTCTGCCTCGGGGTAGTACAGTGGGAACCTCTGGGAAATGGGATGCTGTGCAAGGGAGGCACAGGGGGGCTCTGGAGGACCCCTTAGGGAACGGGCTCCTGGCACAGGGAGGTCCTGGGGACCCCTCAAGGATCAGTGTCCTGCCCCAGGGTGGAAGGGGGGGATCCCAGGGAACCTTTGGGGAGCAGTGTCCTGCACAGCGGGTTCCCAGGGACCTGTGGGGAACAGGGCTCCTGACACATCCTGCTTCTGGGAGAGTCCCTGCTTGTTCCCTGTCCTGGGACCCCCTTTTTCCCCAGGACCGAGATCTTCTCGGGGAAGGTGGTGACACACGAGGACATCAAGTATGAGCAGGCCTGTGTTCTCTACAACCTGGGTGAGGAACGGGACCCCATGGATTGGACCTCCCTGCTCCATTCCCGGGGCTCTTGGGGGGTCTCTGCCCCACTGAGCCTGCCCTGTCCCCCCAGGAGCACTGCATTCCATGCTGGGAGCCATGGACAAGAGAGTGTCTGAGGAGGTAACGGCCCCCAGAGAGCCCAGAGACAGCTCTGCCCCATGGGGGTGTGACAGGGCAGGGACTGTCCCTGTGCTGGGAGCTGGGAGGGCACACCTGGAATCATGGGGGCACGTTTGGGGGCTCTGGGAACAGGTCATGGAGGAGCTGGAGCATGTCCGGGGAAGGGGCTGGAGCACCAGGAGCAGCTGGGGGGTCTCAGGGGGGACCGCAGGGGGACAGGAGGGTGAATCTGGGGAGGTTGGGCCCTGCTCCCAGGGAACAAGGGACAGGAGGAGAGGGAACGGCCTCCGGCTGTGCCAGGGGAGGGTCAGGCTGGATATTGGGACAATTCCTTCTTGGAAATGGTCGTCCAGCCCTGGCACAGCTGCCCAGGGCAGGGGTGGGGTTCCCATCCCTGCAGGGATTCCAAAACCTTTTGGATGTGGCCCTTGGGGACATGGGCAGTGGTGGCCTTGGCAGTGCTGGGGATCAGGTGAACTCCATGAGCTGGGAAGTCTTTCCCAACCCAAACAATTCCATCCCCTCAGGGCATGAAGGTTTCCTGCACCCACTTCCAGTGTGCTGCTGGTGCCTTCACCTACCTGCGGGATCACTTCCCACATTCCTACAGCGTGGACATGAGCCACCAGATCCTCAGCCTCAACATCAACCTCATGCTGGTGGGAACTGGGGGCACTGGGCACACTGGGACACCTCCACCTGTGTCCATAGGGTTGGGTGTTCCCTGGGGATCCAAGGAGATGGGATCCCAGTGTCCCACAGGGAGTTGTCTGTGGGATCTGGGCTCCCTCCAGGGGGGAAAGGAGGTTTTGGAGAGCAATGGGAGTCAGGGAAGGCTCTGTGACATTCCTGGACTCTGGACACCTTGGGAGTGATATTACCTGTGCCTCCTTGAACTCTCAGGAAAGGGGCTGGAGCTGGGGGGTCCTGCTGCAGTTCTGGGGTGTCCCAAGGGTTGGGGACACTGAACATTCCCCCTCTTGTCCCTGGCAGGGCCAGGCACAGGAGTGTCTCCTGGAGAAGTCCATGCTGGACAACAGGAAGAGCTTCCTGGTGGCCCGGATCAGTGCCCAGGTGAGCTCCAGGAGCTGCTCCCAGCACAATCCGGGCATTGGGAACTGCAGAGGGACTTTGGGCAAGGGCCTGGAGGGACAGGACACAGGGAATAGCTGCCCCCTGGCACAGGGGAGATTTGGGTGGGACATTGGGAAGGAATTCTTGGCTGTGAGGGAGGTGAGGGACTGGAATGAATTTCCCAGAGAAGCTGTGGCTGCCCCATCCCTGGAAGTGTCCAAGGCCAGGTTGGACAGGACTTGGAGCCACCTGGACGGGGGACAGGTGTCCCAGTGATGTCCCCAGTCCCTGGCTCTGATCCCAGACACATCCCTGAGTTCCCCACCAGAACCGTTTTTCCGGGCGATCCCAATCCCGGGGCCCCCCTCGCCCTCCCTGCCGTGGGCTCCGTGTTCCCGGTGCCCCAGCCCTGTCCCCCCCAGGTGGTGGATTACTACAAGGAGGCCTGCAGGGCGCTGGAGAACTCGGAGACGGCGGCGCTGCTGGGCAAGATCCAGAAGGACTGGAAGAAGCTGGTGCAGATGAAGATCTACTACTTTGCTGCCGTGGCCCACGTGAGTGGGGAGGGGCTGGGGGGCTCCCACCCCGCCTCGGGCTGATCCCTGGGCTTTTCCTGCCCCTCTCGAAGCTCCCCCTGGAGTCACACAGCTCTGCTCCCTGTTTTCCTGCAGCTGCACATGGGGAAGCAGGCCGAGGAGCAGCAGAAGTTTGGGGAGAGGGTAAGCGAGGCCACGTCATCCCATGTCATCCACTCCA